CGAGATGCAAAAAAACCGAGGGATAATAAAGAAACAAAAAGTTTCCAAGCGATAAACTGCGACAGAGGAAAGAGTATCGGAGAAACAATGGCTACACTCTGTAATTTGATTCTCCCCAAATTTCCTCAAACCAAATTAACAACAAGAACTCGTGCTGTTCTAACAGGAGATTACAAAATGAAGGTTCCTTATGAACTGAAGCAGGGACAATCCCGTCTTTTTCACAAGCTTCCATCTGGACTAAACATGGAGGTTCTCTTCCAAAAAGGACTTCAATTCAGTGACCCAGATGAGGAAAAGAAAAGATCTCATAACCCACCTTTAGTTTTTATTCATGGAAGTTTTCATGCAGCTTGGTGCTGGGCTGAACATTGGCTTCCTTTCTTTTCCCAAAACGGATATGATTGTTACGCTCTCAGCTTGCTGGGCCAGGTACTCTGTGTTCTCAACAACTGCAATTGCATGGACTAAAGAATGTAGAATTCAAAAATTGATAATTTTGCTAAAAAAAGGTTAAGACTTTCATATATTTGCCAGTACTAGGTCAGTTATAGAGTAGCTTAATCATGGTATTTTGAAAGCCCGAATATGATGGATATTATGGCTTTAACTTTCTTTTTAGGCTGTAGGTTTAACTGCTTAAATTCTTTTTAATATCCAGATAATGTTTAATTTGATACTGATGACCGATTAGCCGACCGAATTACTTGCTGTTTGGTTGAATGATCAAACTACTGTTTATCTTGTAAACAAGACCTGATAAATTTAGGAAGGAGTTCACAACTACCTAAAGTAAATTCTTGTTGGCTTTAATGTACTTATTTAAATGGAATCCCCTAGTGATTTTGCGATGATATTTCATTATCATATAAATGGCAAAAAAGAAATGCAACCCTGTCAAAGTAGCAAATATACGTTATTAATATATTTCTACCTTTTTTGACATTGCCAGGGAGAAAGTGATTCACCTGCTGCAGCAGTTGCAGGTACGCTCCAGGTATTTGACATTTCTCTGTGTTTAGAGATTTTAGTTGAGTGTCAATTGGAAGGTAGGAAATTACTAGAGTAATGACCTTGAGTTGAGCTGACATTCTCATTCAAGTTTCTCTTAGTACATTACCGAAATGGTCTTCAGTGCCTTATAGTTCTGTACTCTGGTGCTTTCAGTAGACACATGCGGGTAATATAGCTGATTTCATCCACAAAGAGATCAAGTTGCCACCAGTATTGCTTGGACATTCATTTGGTGGGCTTATTGTTCAGTATTACATTGCAAATATTAGAAGCGAAGCAGTAAAAGGTAATCATGTTTTCTTTATTGTTTGGCAAACTAAGGCATGCTACATTGTTTGTAGGTTTACCCATTAGCTCATAGATTAGTTCCAATGAATGTTATTCATGTTATTAACTCAAGTTCCTCAAAAGAAAGAAGGTCCACGCAGGATCTTAAGAATGGGGGTCTAGTTCTGATATAAGTCTTTGTTTACTTGAAATTGTGGTTTGAGACATTTTGGTGGTTAACTTATTTGGTCAAATTTCAGGTGAACCACTTCTTATGCAAATCGTTATTTGGCTAATTTAGCCAACTCTTAGTTTTGGCCAAATACAAAATGAAAATAGAATCAGATCTGTTGCTATTTATCTCTTTCATTCAGGAAATTTGTTTAAGCACGGTCTAGGTAATTCCCAAGTGGAAATTTGTCTTGAGTTGCAATTTAGGCTATATGATGTGAAACTAAATTCAGATTGTAGAGATTTGCCCGACCACACAGAGTTGTGTGGCTTCATGTTTGTCGTATTAAATTGCACTTCTTCAAGAAAGTGTGATATTAGGGTAGGGATCCAAACTCTGTTCAGTGTAGGCAGGTGAAGGAGTGGTGTGAGTGTTTTCTTGCCCTTAAAAAAGAATGTTTTTGTGTGGGTATCTACACTTTCACCTTCATGCTTCTAGGTTTTCCAAAAATATTTCATGGTCAATACAAGATTTTGCACTTTATGTACACGCTACAGAAACTTTATTGTGCACAGACCTGTACAATGACATAGAAATTTCATTTGAAAAGGTCATTTACTCAAAAGAGAAGAATTAAATATGGCATTCTCTAAGCAGCACTTGGTTTAAATTGAGCAGAATGGTTACAAAGGATTCATAAAGTCGACAACCAACTAGTTCGCAATTGAGCTCTAGTTGATTAATAGAGCAGCATGGTATTAAGACATCATATGTCTTCTAAGCTTTACAGTTTAGTCTCATTATTCATTGGGTTGCATAGCTCTCTCTTGTGCTGTCACCCTCTTGGTGCCCACATGGACTTACCTCATTATATTCACCTACGAAAAGAGGGGTAGAATTTGTGTGTATGTTGATGGGTGACATTGTAGGCCTAGGTTTCTGGTCCCTGAAGTATCATTTAAGGTGCTTACTCTATTTGTATCATAAAGCACATTAACCGCTTAAGCTGTTTGTTGGACATCTCATATCAATGAGAGCAAATCCGTATGTTCCTTAAAAGTGGTTACCTTATCAAAAGCATGTTCCTCTAAGGTGGTTACCTTATAAAAAAAAAGTTTCTTAAAGTGGTTGTTTTTACTCAAAACAGATACGTATTTCTTTTCTTTTTGGTGCTACAGGATCTAATTCAGAAAATAAAAGCTTATTGCCCTATCTTGCTGGAGCTGTGCTCGTTTGCTCAGTACCCCCTTCGGGTAATAGGTGACTTCCTGTACTGTATAAAGCTTGTTTTCGATACGAATTTTATTTCCACTCAATAACTTATTTCTCTTTTGTTTTATTCAGTGGTTTAGTATGGCGGTATCTCTTTTCCAAGCCTATTGCTGCTTTCAAGGTTTGTCTATTTAATTTAAAAGAAATGCTATACACACTTATCTCAGCTATGAACTATCAAAGTAATTGCCTTTCCTAGCATTTACAAAGGCATACAGATATACATATTGAAGCCACTTCGTCTGCTTCTTGTTTCCTGTTTCAAATTTTCTCTCTATACTGTCAGTGGTAAAATCAGTAAGTGGTTATATCCTTATTAAGTGCATAAAATGTCTGCATTCTTCTTCTTTTTTTAATTCCTGCATTCTTGTGATTTTCAAATTGGTGACTTTAATACTTCGAGCAGGTAACTCGGAGCCTGGCAGCCAAAGCTTTTCAAACTGATTTACCTCTTTGTAAAGAAACATTTTTCTCAGCAGCAATGGAGGATCAGCTGGTTGTGCGGTCAGTCAATGACAACTTAGATGTTTATTACTTTTTTGGATATCAAATGAAAGAAGAAAATGGGTTAAAATAGACGATATTTTTCATAAAACATATTATTATGTTTGCCTGACCTAATTTTGAAGATGTCTATGTGTACTATTGGACAATCAAAGAGTAGCAAAAGAAGTTAGTTCTTGAACATGCTACCCGTTTGAGTTATTCCTACCACTTTCCCAAAAATATCAGTAGTTTGAACTAAACGTATTCCTGGTTGATTTGTAAAGACCTGGCTACTGGTGCATATACTACTCTACTGTCAGCTTGAGGATTCCTCCTTATCAACAATCCATTAATGGCCATTTCCTAAGTTAATATCCAGTTCAAATAGTAGCGAATGAGTTTATGTGAACAGTTTGTTTTATGAGTTCCTAGGTTATGTTAGTAAGTTTGTTTATATTTCAATCTTGATAGTTTAGTTTTATTTTAAGTTGGAATAATACCTTGATTAATTGGACACGGAGCGATTCAGGCATCTATTTTATTGTATTGACGCAATTGGAAAATCATGATTTCTCCCTGCCGCTCAAGCAAGATTCTTACAATATTTCTTGTTCTCTTTTTTTCCTTTTTTCTAGTTACCAACAGCTAATGACTGAAAGCTCAAGGATGCCTTTGTTTGATCTAAGAAAGCTCAACGCAGCTCTTCCTGTCCCTCGACTCGAGGATCCTGCATTTAAAGTACTCGTAGTGGGTGCAAAGGATGATTTCATTGTGGTAAGTGCATTTAAAGTACTCTTTGTGAGAGCTAAATATCTCAGGTGCTCTGGAAGTAACGTATGAATGATGTGATTTTCTCAGGACATGGAGGGACTCAATGAAACAGGAAGATTTTACGGCATCCCGACGATCTGTATTGAAGGGGTTGCTCATGATATGATGTTAGATTGCTCATGGACAAAGGGTGCACAATCGATTCTATCATGGATGAACGGCTTAAATAAAGCTGGGACAAAATTATGAAGGGATATTGCCTCCGGATATTTTCGAGAACCACTGCCTTGGCCCGTGATTCAATCAAGATATTGACAATTGAGAGGTTTTAGAATAGGATTGAATTTGTACTTTTATCGCTTTTGGAGATAGATGATCTTCAAGATACTAACAGGACAGAGACAGTAGTTCTGTCCAATTGTTAGACAGAATAGTCTCAGGGATGAATAAGCACGACTTCAATGATGGCAGATCAACGATCAAAATCATTAACAGTTTGATCCGCTTGGATGCTCATCGGTTGTAACTCTATTAAATCAGTACCACATATAAATTTAGCTTCCAAGATGTCCAGCCTTTAAAATAAGACACTTAAGTGATATGCATTTTCACTTTAATGATTAAATTGTTTGGTTTGGCATTTATACATTTAGTTATTCCATTCAGGGTTTCTTTGGCTTCACTTTTCATGAAATATTGGCATTTGCTACGAGTGAGCTTTAACTGCTGTGCAACTATTAATCTTCTACCCAAAAGAGATGAATGAAACAGCCAAAGAGAAGAGTGGCAGAGTCCATCAGACAAAGGATGAATCGCACCAGGTATCAACAACACATCAGCAAGGATTCTTGCACAACCAAATACAGTGTGAAGATAAAGACAAGAAATACGACCAAAATTTGAGACTAACAAGTCATTGCTCACCCCTAGTCCCTCTGAGTTTATTTATTTTTCTAGCATTTGTACTTTTCTCATCCTTACCATATCTGTTCTCAAAAGTTGATATTAGACCATGAAGAAACAAAGAAAGTAGAGCAAAATTTCCACCCTTCCAATGATAGTTTTTGCTTACAACAATACATTAATAAAGTGGTTATATACCTGCACATGCTAATATTACAAAGTGGAGCCAGCCAATATAACACAGATTCACTATATTTATGAGCCAGCGTACGTGGCTATTATTGTCATTCCTCAAAAAATCTGCTGTTTACTCCTGCTCTATACAAGTGCAAACCAGAGGAGGTTGCAATGGTAATATTGGTATTTGCAGGTGCAAATAGGACATCACCTTCAGCAACAGTCTCTTCTGCTGATGTGGTCATTGTTCCCTCTCCTCCCATGACCACAAAAATGGACGGACCAGGAGAAGAAGGATAGACAACAGTTGATTGTTGGGGAAGAATGCAACGATCCACCTCAAATTCATCAAAGGGAGGGAGGTATCTCATCGTGAACGGATTTAGTTTCGTACCTTGCAGAATTTCAGGGTAACACTGTAACAGAAAACACTAATTTTAGTTCCTAGATCAAAAGATACATAATGCCATGTAACTTGCATGTTCGGTAGTCTTGCCAAATAACTAGCCTGCCTTCCATAACCAATAAAATCTACCTATTAGGGGTATTGGGCGATATTCTAAATGTTGCTGACTAATTTCCACTAGTACTGTTACTTTAGGAACTTTTATGCCTCAATCAAAGATACAAGTGATTTTAATATGAATATAGCACTATCTTGGTGGATCTTGGGCTCGTATACTATGATCGATCTGAAGGATATTCCCCTTCAAATGATCTGCAGTCTCAACCTATATGACAAAGGTTAATAAAACATGGAGGATGAAAGAGCGCCTCTAATAGTGACTCTGACTGTACCTGTCTATATGTGAGCATTGAACAGAGAGTTGTAACATCCCGGTGTTTGGGAGTTAGGCCAGCACGTACCACATTGTCTGAGGTTGCCATGCATTCGACACACTCACCATATACATATGCATGAGGTTCATTTGCCCCTAAATATAAAGCTTCACCAGGATTGAGCTTCACATAATTAAACAAGAATGCAGCTAAAACACCAACATCAGCTGGATACTGCTTCTCAAGTCTTAGGACCAGTTGTTCTTTGTCCGTCAGCCGCCTTGCCTAAACACCAAAGTGCAAGCATCTTCTTTAATAAACAACGTGCAACATGAATTTAAACAGCAACAGTTCCAGATATGCTTGAGGAGAAAACAAGACAACATGTGGTTCATCTTCAGCAAATCACTTACTTCAGAATATCTTATGTGTCCCAGGTTAAGACAGAGATGACCCATGTGCTACACAACCAAAAGAATGGGGTATTTGAGCTACTCCTTCATAAAATTTGAGTTAAAGACACAGAGTTCCCAATTACATACTAATTTGATAGCCGACTTTTCTCAGTGATCAGCTGAGCATGCATGTGTCATAAAAGAAAATAGGCAGGACATTCTGTTTTGGGGATAAAATCCAAAAGAATCTGTTTTAACTCTGATGATACGACCAAAAGTTACCCTAAAACAGAAGAATTTAGTGCTTAGATAGAAATACACTGTTAAGTAAGGACAAGCTCCACATTCTTCAAGAATATACAAACAAACACGTAAAAATTCAAATTTAATCAGGGGAGGCATAGTGATTGTTTTTAGATTGAGAGATGGGTAGAGAATTGTGCAATAAGACACAAATGATTAACTAAGACAATGAAGAGCAAAAATTTACAGATTGCCACATCAATGAGTCACTACCATGTAGAAGCGCAGAAAGAGAGTTAAATTACATCAAAAGAAAAACAAAAGAACCTTGAACTTTCATATAATCATGGAGCAATCAGACTTTACCTTATTTTTAATATTTAGACGACTAATCAGCTTGGCAAGAACTTCCGTGATCACATCTTTGTTAGCTGACATCATCTCCGTAAATAATTTTCTGAGCACTAATTTAACTTTCTCCTCTCCATCATCCTCGTTCAAGTCTAATACTCGCTTTGCAGGCGTATCACCAACCACTTCAATAATCTCAGGCACAGTCTGAACAATCACTTTAAGCTCCTGGAAAAAAGTCATCAAATTCACATCTAGTATTTTTAATTCTTCCAAACAGTTACAGAAGTGTAAGTCCACTCGATCATCTCAAGTCAAAAAGCTAGGTTTTTGTCAACCACGTGATAAAGCACTCTATTAATTACACCAGTTGCCAGCCCCCACTTCTAGATCATTATAGACTTGCTCCTACCAAAATTTGCAGTACAGACGATATAACAGGAAGAGAATAATAAAACATACACATGTTAGTTATTATATACAAGCTCTAACTAGAGCACAACCAGTAATTAATCTTTTATTTATAGAAGACAAAAGAAGCTAAGTGGGACCTTTCCCCTTACTTTATTCCTTCCGGTTGTGGGAAAAACAACAAGGTCCAGTTAATAATACTCAAAAAGGAAAAGGCAAACAAAACAAACTTTCAAGATTTAAAAACTCAACATCAATTTTTTATTAAGTCAGACAACCCTACAATCAGCTTAGAGTCCCCACCGTGCTCTAAGAATGAATATTTTCCCAATAAGCTGGAGCCTGATAAATACTCACAGCTAAGAGATATTCTATCATTATGACATCAGAGCCTCTAGAGTCTAGACAGCACCAATAATTACTACATATATATCCAGTAAAACAAGTTGCTTAACTCTACTGGAACGTTTTGCTGGGTATATCATAATTTAAAAGCATCTGATATATGCATTACCCCAAACTAGATAAACCTAAAAGAACTCCAAATATACAAACCAAAAGTAGTACCTCAAGACTTGTGAAGCCACACAAGGCCTCAAATTCGGTCAACGCCAAAGCCATCTCAGGTTTATGATTGTCATCCTTGTAAACAAGTGGCTGCTCCTTATGCAGAAGAGTAGCCAAATCCTTATCCGGATGGGCTTGTATTGACAAAGCTTTTGCAACGGATAATACCTATAACGCAAATCAAAGCCTAGAACTGATCAATAGCAGAAGAAAAAAGGTTCCTTATCTAGTCCAAATATCAAAAATCGTAATTTGCTGTTATTTTGCATTATTTTATCAATATCACAATAAAAAACCAAAACTTTGAGCAAATTAAAAGCAATGAACATAGAAGGTCACCTTGAAGAGAAAAGGGAGGTGGGTACCCCACTTGTGAAGAACAGTTTGACCAAGAACACTAGGGTTCTTTTCAATCCAATCTTGTAAAGTAAGCTTTTCTCTTTCTCCGCCATTAGCAAATCCATTCTCAGTTGTTGTTCTTCCTTCTTCCACTACATAAGACGGCCCAGAGTCGTGAGTCCCCATCCAAAATTCAGCATAGGGCTGATTCTCATCGATTTTTCCCCCAGTATTGAGCCCATAGAGTCGTGCCACACAAGATTCCTTCCCGTTCCGGCCCCAATCGTAATTCTTGACACAACCCGTTAACCTCAAAAGCCCATTAAAGTTAAAACCCTCCATAGTTGTTGACACTGATACAGAAACAGCCTCAGCCTCCATGGAAAGAGAAAGAGAGAAGTAGAAGTATATAAAGAAAAGGGGAACTTAAAGAGGAAGAGAATATATGAAATTGAAAGTTGCTTCTACTTTCCATTCGAGGGGAGAATATATGAATTTGTGAGGGAGGGAAGGACAGTTGGAATAGGATTGGACAAAAGCAAGTGACGAGAGTAACTTGGGGTTATCGTAGAATTGGGTACAGTACTGTGTACTGCCGTAGTAGAAACTAGAATCCAGAAAAGAGGAAATTGCTGAAGAGTCACGCACGCCGTTATGATCTCGGTGGGGGTTCGTCGTTAGTTTCATCATGTGGTCATCAGTTGTTTACTACTTTATTTCTTTTCTCGGGTCGGGGTCCAAGTACTCAGGAGATGTGTCATGTTTATACACGCGATCCACGAGTTAAAGGAATAGTTTGATTTGTGGGGACATTCAGAAAAATTAGTCTATTACGTACTCCTATATTATTATTAATTATTAATAAAATATAATGTTACATACAATTAATGAAGCTATTATTAAACTCTACAGGAGGGAAATAAACGTTACATTGCATTACCAACCTATATTTGACAATAATACATCAATTAAACAATAATCGGTACAGTAGTTTATTCTATATGTAGTCATTCCTACCCTATAATCTTGGCACAACTAGAACACGAACTAAACAACTTCTAAATGAATCGGGGCGTATGCACCTTGAAAAGCATTGGGTTCATTTGAACCTTATATTTTATATGCAAAATATAATTTTATGTGTAAAAATCTAATAAAATTACAAGAATAACAAATATAAACTCATAACTTAAAAAAGTATAATGAGTTTGAACTCATAAAACTTAAATCCTGGATTTGCCCTCTAAACTGATGTGTGCAAAGTGGAAAGTTGGTACTTTTTGTGACTATGAATACAAACTTATTTAAGTTTGTATTTATAAAAAAATCATAAATAATTTGACGGATAGAGTAAGTACATATGTATCTCTATCGAAAAAGTTTTAAGGTATGTCTCACACAAATGATATTAGTTGTATGAGACCTCTTTTATTTCACAAATATATGGACTAATATCTTATACTTTTGGGTCTATAAAATTCTGGGTTCACAAAATTATAAGACAAAAAAGAAATATCACACAATTAGTGTCAGTTGTATGAAGCACAAAATAAAAAAATCATCTCTATCTGATAATGTTTTTGGGTGGCTAACGTCTGATTTAGTTTATTACTCCATTGCCAATGGGAAATTTTGATATTTGCAAAATTTAACATGTACATAATGTCACAGATTACGTACTCATAGATATAAATTGAACTTTTCCATCAACTCTACATATTACATCTCTTGTAAAAATGGCTAATTGAAATAATTGAAGTACGCATAATGGGTACAAATGTTATTGGAAATAAATCCGAAGCCCGAACTCATCTTTTGCGCGCTCTGACTAGGGGCGTTGTTTACCCGTAAAATAGTACAATTGAATTTATACGTGGTTTCTAGACAATTAAACTAATTTGATCCTGAAATAATGTAATAATTGAAGAAATGTACAATACTTAGCCTTAAAATGTAGATGAAACAACAGAGATGGCAGTTCTGGGAACAAGGTTTACGGACACAGCAATGATAAGATCAAAAAGCAAGAAAGTAAGGTTATATTAAGTTTTGTATAGAATGTAGTGTACGTTTTGCCAAATAATTTCGTGTCCTCTACAATGATAACTAGGCTCGCTATTTATAGTTATGTCTAGGGAAGGAGGTCCTAGGATCATGCCCTCCTTTAATATCAATTATGAGGGTCATTGACGAAGATGTAACGGTGAATATAAATATCAAATTCTCTGTAACGGGCCGTCGCTCTTAATGCTGCAGAAAATTCCTTATTAAATGCTACCGGGCGCAGATATGGGTGGCAATTTGAGCTCAAACCCATCCAACCCGCCCAACCCGTCCAGAGATTAATGGGTTGGGCTATAACATTTTAGCTCATGGGTCTATGTGAGTTGAGCCCAAGTTAATCCATTATTTTTTATAGCTCATTCTGACCCATGAAGTAGCCCAATTATAACTCGTGAAGCTCACCCCAAAACAAAGGGATTTCAACCCAACTTATCTAGAAATTTTACTTAGTTACCACCCACCCCCGCAAAAATATTTTTTTTACCTTTTTTTTATATATATTTTTAATTTTCTGTTTTCTGCACCACCCACCCCACCCGCAAAATATTTTTCAACTTACACATTTTAAGGTTTACCCTATGTATAAAAGGTAAAAGACTTTGTTTATGCAAGATGAGCATGGTTCTAAAACATGAGTCAAGTTGGGCGGTATGGGCTATGACCCATTATTTAGCCCATCTTGACCCAACCCATCTTAGCCTAAGTACACTTTGGGCTGGGTTGGGCAATGACTCATTTATTGACCTAACCCATCTTGACCCGCCAAAATTCAGCCCAACTCACCCATTTGTCACCCTTAGGCGCAGAGCATTTAATATACATTTATGAACGTAATCCCTTCCGGTGACAAGCGGAATGAGTATGCAGTCTTCGGCCATCCCCGTTTAGGTTTCCATGTGTCTTTCCTTCAGATGACCACGTGTCATATCATATTTCACCCTATACAGATAGTCCCCCTTCTTTCCGGTGACATAACTTTGTGTTACCGAAAAATTGGTAGAAACACTCTTTTTGGCTGGAATTACTATAACTCCCTCTGAAGGTTTCTGACGGTTAATTAGACGCACGTCTCTCCGCATTTAATGCCCCAAAAATGCGTCATCCCACGATTCAGCACAACTTTTGCCGATTATCGAGGTAATCATGGCCATAAATTTAGCCGTCAAAATTTTACTTATACGCGCCATTCTTTTCCTTTTCACTTCACAATTTCTCGAACTTCTGATTTGCATCTTTGTTCTCTATCCTTTCTCTAATTCTCTTCAAACAAAAGCCTTTTCCTTCTTCTTATTCATTGGCTTCTTCTTCCAAGTGTGTCGGTTCTTCAAAGAACAAGAACAAAGCCGAGGACTCTGCTTCTCCAATGGTGTGTTCCATCATCCCAAGGAGACTCAGTATCACAAAGGACTTAGAAGAGAAATTCTCTACTGCTAACCCTCGTACATGGGTTGTTAGTGGGTACCCTTCTTTCATTCTTCCTTCCAGTATTCCTGCCGTGAAGGAAGGCTGGCGCTGCCATGAGTTGGATATTATTGCTCCTGATCTATCGGAGCGAGTGACCCTTCCCAAGGAAGATTTTACATACTTTTACACGTATCCCTTTACTTTAGGTGCATTTTTTTGAGTGGAGAGCTTGATTCCGTGATTGCGGAATTTTGCCTTCGCTACCAGGTATGTTTGGCACAGGTAAGTCCTTCAGTGTGAAGGACGGTCGCCTGCCTTCGACGCTTATGCCAGGAGACTGGAGAGAAGCTAACCTTAGCTCATATGATGAATCTCTATTCGCGGGGGAATGATAATCCTCTGCAAGCGTGGCCACCATGCTTTGATGTCTATCATGGATGATGACAACGACCATGGATGGATGGAATGGTTCGTTGCAGTCGCCACCAATGACATCACTCTGTCAACGGCTTCATCCTTTCCGGCTGCTTAGAACCGCACTTGTGAGCTCTTTGTTTAGTATTTCCTTTTACTAAGTATTTTTCTATAGCCGTATTGATCCTCCATCCTTTGTTCGTTTCAGCAACTCGATAGATCCCACCGGTGATAGAAGGCTTGGACCGGTGGGTTCAAAAGATCTTGGACATCACGACGTCAGAAACTCGTTTGTGAAAAGAACTGGCCCTTAAATACGGGTGGAAGGCCAAAAATCATGGTAATTGTAACTTACCTTGATTCTAATTTTTTTTTTGTATATGGAGAACTTGGTTGAACCCTTCTGACTTGTTTACGAAATTAGGTCTACCTGCGGGCTCTATTGCTATCCCCGAGGAGGACGTCTTGGCTGATCGTTCTGATGCAGCGAGGCTGCTTCAGGAGGCACTTACTCGAACATGTATCTCCGGGCCTATTTCGGGTGCAAACACTTCTTTACGGAGTCCCCAGCCGGAGGATAAATAATCGAAGAGAAGGCGTTCCTTCGTGGCCGGGGAAAAGAATAAGAGGGCAAAGATTGATGCCTCCAAGTCATCTCCGGTGGCGATGGTGACTGGTCCTCCTTTCGGGCCGGTCATAGACACCGTGATGATCGATGATGATAATGAAGCTAGTGATTAGGGAGCTCTCCACATAGAAAACAGCGATCCTTATCATCTCAACAGGATGCTCGACCTGTTGAGAGAGTTACACCAACCGAGGACGATGCCTCAATACTTTGGGGAGAGTTTGGTTTGGTAGATAATGTCAACTCCAATTTTCGGGCCCCAGTTGATGTGCCTGATACTGCGGGGCTAAGTACCGGGTCCTTGCTGTCTTTGGTTGGCGAGCATCCAACAACCAGCACTATATTTGATGCAGCAACTTCTCACTCTTCAACTCCATCAGCTTCATCTCCATCTTCACCAATACCAGCAACTGCTACATCACTTCCATCTTCATCCACTCTTCCATCAGCAGTTGCTACATCACCTCCACCTGCCGCACCTGACCATGCAGAAGGTATTCCTCTTCCACATTCCCCAGTTCATGGAAATTTGGGGCAAAATCATGCTGCCCCTTCTGAAGATCCACAAAGGAGGAGGAACGCTACTTTTTCAGTATCTACCGGATGTAACTTGATATCCCAGCCGATGGAGCTTTTAATTATCTGAAGCCTTTGGCTTAAGAGAAAGACTGGAAAAAGTTTCAAGCAATCTCGGGAGAGTGTTTGTTGAACAACGCTATGCACAACGCCGCAGAGGTACATTCCTTTCTTCCTTTATTACTTCTTCTAATTTTGGATGTAAGCATATCCTTAATTTCTACCTTCTTACTTTGTAGGCCAACTTTATTGCTTCCGAGGGCCTTTAGAGGTTGATTCGTGAAAAGGAAGAGATTACCTTCGCACGGGATCAACCTTTGACACACCAAGAGCAACATGTCGCTCGCCTTTCGGAGCTGGAAACCAAAGCTGCTGAGGCTGTAGTGTTGGAAGCTCGTTTGCGACAAAGTGAGCAAGAAGTGGTAACCCTTAGCCAAGAAATTAGGCCGTTGAGGGTTAGATTTGATGAAGCCAGGGCCAAATGGGTTGAAGTCCATAACGCCGTTCTTGCCATAACCGATTGTGAGATTGCCTCCGCTGAAAGAGTGATTAACTTGGAGGCAGCCTTGAACTCCAAAATTGAAGA